GGGGAGGGAGGACCCCTCCCCCACTAATCAATAAATCAATCAATATGAAAACAATCAATCAATCAATAAATATTTATGTTTTTTTTTATTTTTTTATCTTTTTGTCACTCACCGAAAAGTTGCGAAAACCACCTCCCTTAATTTTCAATTTTTTATTATTATTTTTTTAATGGGGTGGTAGTGGCGGACGTGCGCAGGCAGTGAGCGCACGTCGTTTTTCAGTGCGCGCCCCCGCCTGGCCCTGGCGGGCCCGCGGCCAGCCTCCTCGGCCACAACCAAGGTAGCGGAGGATAGGACGGAGGGGGACACATCGCCACAACTGAGGTCTAGTATACCATGTGGCGAACTGTTTTCTGTAACCGCACGACTTTCTGCGCAGGGCTACTTCGGGGGTTAAATTAGGATGGCCCCTTGGATTGCATGGGGCCCCTTGCTTTTCTTGTTTTTCTTAAATTGAGGCTGGCGTAGTCCCACGACGGTTGATAGTTGATCACGCCTCAGCAAGCACGGAAGATAATTGTTGCCATAACGTTTTTCTTGTTCTGCTGCGGGGAATGAGAATTTTGGCACGAACGTCGCGCGGGAAGTCTTTTAGAATTTTCAACTGATATCGAGCCCCCTCGAGCTCTCGGGATTTGCTTCATTCGAAATTTCGCTTTGTAATTAGGATTTAGATAAAAATATGAGCGCATCACAATTTCGGTTGCACGACGCCTCTTGCTTCTCCGCGCCTTAATCTTACGTGTAATTGTAAGTTCTATCTTGGCGAGAGTTATTGTAACTGTAACCCTCTCTTTCTTGATATCTTTCTGTGGCGCCCTGGCGCACACATGTTCTTCCCAATCCTATTGGCCTAAGCGATGAATGACTGGATCGATGCGTGGAGTGGGGCTACGTCCCCCACGCCGTGGTGTGGCCATGCAGTCGTAGGCACTTCCTTCCTCCTCCTTCCTTCCCATTCAGCACAACCCCGGGTATCTCGCGCAAGCATGCATGCTATAAATTTCGCAAGCGCGATAAACTCACTCTCTATGAATTTTGGAGTTAGTTTGGTCGAGAGGATCAGCTAACAGACAAGAATTGGAAGGTGAATAGGGAGTTGGGCGATCCGACAAGCTGTTGCTGGGCATTCGGGGTGAACATGGGGCCGCGACCGACTTTGGCGCACGAGCGAACCTGGCTTGCATGCTCGGATTAAGCAGGGTGATAACTCTGTATGGGTGCGAGGCGACGGACTKCCCGCATCGAGATGCWKTGSGGAGAGAGAGAGAGAGAGAGAGAGAGAGAGAGAGAGAGAGAGAGAGAGAGAGAGAGAGAGAGAGAGAGAGAGAGAGAGMGMRASRGAGGTCGGGAGCATTAGACAGGAGAGACAGCAAGCAACAGCTGGAAAACTCCAAAAGCTTCAAAAGACAAAATTTCAGAGTTACACATCAACCATAGCTCAACCTAATCATGTCCTCAGCTCTATAACCACCATAGTTGTCTTCTTCCCCAGGTAGTAGGCAAAGCGAGATCCTTCTACCGGTTTCGTCCGCTCGCTTAGCGGACTCATCAGGAAGGTGTACCAAAAGATACTTCTGCCGAGAAGAGAGACACAAGGCCTTGTCCCTCTGGCTTTCATCCTGTCCCTAGAGCGAGTTCAGTCACTACCAACTACCTATTCCTCCTCATCGCCGGGAAACTGGCCGTTCTAAAACCAAAATTCGAAAGTCGGAAAATTGTGCTTCAAAAATTTTGAAAAAAACATCAGTGCAGTTACTAAAAGTGAAATACCTAGATTGCCCATCACAAAAGGAAAACGGGTACATCCAGTCGACTGTTCTTGCGCAAAACGTAAAATAAAATAAAATAAAATAGGAACCGGGCACGCAAAAGGAATAGAAACGAAAATACGTTAGCACTAGCTACGTATTCTCCCAAGGATGTGATGCAGGTACATCTCCCACTCTTCGGTCGGGGGTCGGTTAGATATAAAGGCGCGAGGGACCAAAACCAAAATTTAAAGGCGCTAGGGACCGAGAAAAACAAAATAAAATAAAATACTAGGACAGGGGAACAAAACTTTGCCGCGTCCTGTAGCTCGGGAAAGATGCCTTGATCTTCCAAGTGTCAGTTCTGACCAGGGCAGTTGAGTTCCTGTGAAACTCCGGAAACTGTTGTCTTCATCCCGTGGCTACCCGTAGTTGTCTGACCAGGGACTGTCCCCCGCGGGTGAGGGTACTGTGCCCACCGAGCCTCGGGATTGAGAATCACTCCGCGTCGTAGACGGTGTACGAGTAGGAAATTCTCCAGTAGCCCTTGGATAAGTCTGTCCCCGGTAGCTTTGGCCAATTTGGCCAAAGCCCCGAGAGTGACCTCTGGGGGATAACCCCGGAGGAAACTTTCAGCAATAGAGTAAGCCACTACGTTAATACTTAGTGCCTTAGAAGTTGTAGCAGACCAAAGCCTCTTCAGAGTGGCCAGTAGCGTAACCTTCTTGGTCTTCTTATCCGAATAGCTCTCAAAATCTTGCATAGTCTGGTATTTGAGAGTCCTTCCTAGTCCCAATGTAGCCATGTTCTTGGTTCCTGGCACAAAATGCAGTTGCAGAGGTTCAGTCAGTACGTAGAAAGTCCCGCCGATGAAAGGCCAGAAGTCCAGGCCTTCGTCTTTCCGTACGAGTTTCAGACTCTTGTTGTAGCATGAGTCGAAACTGTCAAGTATCTCCGAAGCTCTGTGCCGAGACGTGTCGTTCGCACAACCGATAATGATTGTGACGTCGTCAACCATCCTCCATCCGTGTACTAGGTTCTTCTCTGCTCCCAAACTTGATAGGAACTGTAGCTCGGCCATGGCGCACGTGATAGTGGCAAGGACAGGACTCGTGGTCTTCCCCATAGGGATTCCTACGACCTGTCTTTTAACCTTGTCCCCGCACATCATATAGGCATGATCTAAGTCAAACATTACCAGCGTGAGAAGGGTCTTTAGTTTGACTGATACATAACCTAATTTTGTGCGGTTGGTCTTGGAGAGGGTGCAAAGTTTGCCTCTAACAGCCACACGTACCTGCTTCCATTCGGCGTTCTCAAAGTGTCTCAGTAGCTGGAAGACAACGTCAATAACGGCTGCATGTGGTATCGAGGAAAACATTTCCTTGATATCATAGCAGCGTCCAACAGCCAAAGTACACTTGGAACGTACCAATGTTTTCTCTGCATCTCTCAGGCCGTCCCGGAGGTGATGTGCTGAGGCAAGATGGAAGTTCAGGTTTCCTATCAAACGTGTGACGAGGCAGTACAAGGCCTTAGCACATCGTCTTTGTCCAACTCCAGTAGGATTTGCACAAGCTGGAGCAATTGGCCGCCATCATTGTAGATATTTGTCCTTAGGGATCACGTAGGCTTTCCTGAGCCTGCCGTGTGGTTTCCAAGCTCCCACAGTCGTCAGGCCCGGTTGCTGGTAATCTTTCCTGCATTGTGCCAGGACTTCCTCCTCTGTCTTGTCAATGCTTGAGTAGTCGGCGTTCCACGCAAACATCGTGCCGAACCCGTGCCTGTATAGGACAGGGCAGATCAATGCGGTGTCACCGACATTCCTGTCAATCAGTGTTAAAACCAGACCGTCGAACTGTCGTGTGTAGTCCCTAACCTCCTTCTCTGTCCATGCAGCAGATGTTCCCTCCTTATCTCTAACACAACTACTGACGTCAAGGGTCAACGCGCGAGTACTGCCCAAATGTCCAGTGGCTGTCTGGATACTGTCCCGGAGTGTATCCTCTGCCAGGTACCGTCTGCATCTAGTGACATTTTTCGAATTCTTAACGAATTTGTGTACTTCCACATCCGCCATCCTGGTAAGAATAAGCCCTTCGTGTTTCTTGAGACTGTACCTAGCACAGGGACAGTCTACCGGTTCAGTGTGCGCAAACCTTCTGTGGTTGTGTACAACCTCCCCCACGGTTCTATTCCTGGTCGACACGATTCTGACCTTCCTCTTAATTAAACCAGCAACTGCCTGATCGGTGATTCTGTCATCAATGCTAGACTCGGTAACCCGTCTTACTTCGGACTTGAGTATGCTCGCACTGTACTGAAATTTCACAGTCACTTTCCTTCGGACACTAACCTTAGCTACCCGCTTAATGGCACGATCGATCCTAGTCTTCAAAGCGTTTTGTGTAGACTTCTTTCCAAAGAGGCATGCTGTTCTGTACAAACCTACTAGTTTCGTGGTAGGGTACGTAGCCAGCGACGAAAACTTCCTCGGCTGTCTAAGCATCCTCTGAAGTGTCACTTTGTTATTTTCGGTAGTAGTCGAAGTCCAGACTATCTTACCAAAGCGAACTAGTCCACCCAACTCACAGAGTTGCTTTGCATGTCTCAACTTCATCTCCTTGCCATCCACTAGTACGGTCGTTTGCCCAAACTTCGAGCGGATTACCTTCCAATTATCCGCCCACATCTGGCCGGTTATGAACACTATGTCCCGGTTTGATCCGCGGTCCGCATATCTCTCTTCAAGCCTGTTAAGGAGGGAAGTACGATTTCCCTCCTTGTCCGTGAAACTGATCACTGGTCTTCCCATGGAGCGAGACGCTCGCTTTTTCCTCTCCCTTCGCCCCTTTTGGCGTCTGCTTCGGTGAACTTCTCTTTTGGCTACTTCGATCGTATTCAAGCTTGGTGATAAATCTCGGATCAAATGCTGCTCAAAGGAGAATCGTCTTCCGGTGTCGAATGCCGGATCGGAAGAATCACGAATTGATCCGGGCCGAAGGTCCGCATCCAACGTCGCCAACGATACAGTTGCGGTGCCTTCCCCAGAGCCTGAGAGTGTGTTGCAATCTGATGTTGCCGCCACCTGTGGATGATAGATCGTGCGGTGCATCCAACGTACACCCATTTTGCCCAGGGATTGACAATGATATATGTCCCACCAGTGCGCAGATCGAGTGTGTCTCCTCCGCACTTCATCTTGTCCAGATACATAGTTAGCCAATGGATCTCCCCACGCAACCCTAGTAAGAGGGTAGTGGATGTGATACAGCGCTCGACCACTATCGTTCTCTCTCCCGTGATCCCTTGCCCCCTAAGGGATTTCCGAGTCTCCATGAATTCTCTCAGGGAGGTCCACAGTTTCTCGGTAGTAGGGGGCGCTGCTAGTCAACTAGCCTTATCATTAGGCTGTGTCGCTGCAGATCGCAGTATCGTTCGAGGCACCTCAGTGTTCCTGGTCCTTTCTCTCGTGGTAACAGGAGTCATAGTCGTCTATGTGTGGTCTTCAGCTCCTTCTTCAGCTTCGGTCTCCTCTATGCATGTCTTTTTTCTTCCTATTTTTTCGGTGACCGGTGTGGTGAAAAAACCTTCATCGGTCGCATCAGTTTGTCGACGCACTAGCTCGAGGACCATTTCATCCTTCTTCTTACTCCGAATGCCTTGCTTATCGCACAACCTCTTGAGCTCTGCCACTCGCTTCTTTGATAGCTCCTTCATGACTGACATGGTATACTCCATTAATCCTTGTTGTGAGCACCCAGCTGCGATACCCTTAAACCCATCAGTCATAGGCGACTTGGTCTTCGGAGTGGCCATGGTGGGTGTGCATGGTCTCTTGGAGCATTCTCCACGTTCGTACGTCGACGCACTGCCGAACCGTCTTGTTCCATCCCCAGTGTTCTTCCTCTTCTTCTTTTTTCGTTTCGTCTCTCGCCTTCTTCGAAGTCGTAGCTTTGTCTCATCTTCCGTATCTTCGCTTGATTCGTCTGATGCCGAGTATTCGGAGAGGGAAATGTCCGATGTAGTTCCCGATTCGCTCTCGGAGATCCTCTTCGTCTTAGAGTACTTCTTGGCGGTTTTCTTCTTCTTTTTGACGATCTTGGTCTTCTTCGAAATCTTTGGGCTTGTCCGCTTCGAAGTCACTTGCTTCGGACGAAGCTTCTTACTGTCTTGTCTGGATGTAATCTTCTCTGCTTGTTCTTCGACTACCCTTCTTTGCTCGCGCCATTTTTCCGCAATGCTAGCTTCCAAGAGAAGCCTCATCTCTTCCGTTCGTCGAGCAAGATGCAACTCGCGTTTGCGTTCTTCCTCTTCTTTCATCCTCTGTTGCTCATCCCTCTGCCTCCTCTCACGTTCCTCCTCCTTTTCCTTCATCATTTCTCTAACAAAAGTCCGTACCTCATTATCTTGTTGATAGCCTCTACCACGTCGTGACCAACAATCACGGGCCATATGGTCGGTCTTCCCGCAATCATAGCACTGAATGTCAATCCCCCTTCCCCCGTTCCCATTCATGTTCCCGTTATTCATGTTGTTCGTGTTGTTCATCCTACTTGTATGCAGAACTGCCTTACCACTTACGCTTCGTCCACCTTCCTTCGACTAACAGAGTCTTACCGTCTCCAAATATTGACGATCTCCTCGGTTTCGGAGCTATTGAGAGTACAACGAAGTCTAAGCAGTTGGATCGCTCTACGGATATGTCGGAGTACCACTTGAAGCTGTGTAAAGACTTCGCACCTAGTTCTAGGATTGGAAATCAAATTAGCTGTGGCGAAAATCGGACGTATGGTATGTTGCATATAGTCTTCTAAAAGTTGCACTAGCCTAGCGCGCTCCACGCAATTTGAGTTCCTGGATCTCCTACGTATTCCTCCACAAGTTGGGCATCGATGAGGCATGTTGGTCAGAGCAAATCATTGATCAGAATGAGTCCTAGACCTAGGCACACTAGACCGACGCCAAAAACGCATCTGCGGAGTGATTCCCACATTCCTACAGTGATTCCCACATTCCTATAGAACTACGTTCAATCCTCCATCCACGTTTACCCTTCCCACTTTGTCTCTCTTGACTAACATCGACCCTCTTCGGCTATTCGTGTTAAGTGTAAAAACCCTCTTCGGCTGTTGCAATTTGTGTTAAGTGTAGAAAACCCTCCAGAAATACAACAACATAGCCACCGATACGTATACAGACTCCGGTTACTATGTTCCCAAGAGAGGCAGACTGCGGCCACACAGTCTGTCAAGGAAGCGCAACGGAGGTCGGGAGCATTAGACAGGAGAGACAACAAGCAACAACTGGAAAACTCAGAAAACTCCAAGAGCTTCAAAAGACAAAATTTCAGAGTTACACATCAACCATAGCTCAGCCTGATCATGTCCTCAGCTCCATAACCACCATAGTTGTCTTCTTCCCCAGGTAGTAGGCAAAGCGAGGTCCTTCTACTGGTTTCGTCCGCTCGCTTAGCGGACTCATCAGGAAGGTGTACCAAAAGATACTTATGCCGAGAAGAGAGACTCAGGGCCTTGTCTCTCTGGCTTTTATCCTGTCCCTAGAGCGAGTTCAGTCACTACCAACTACCTATTCCTCCTCGTCGCCGGGAAACTGGCCGTTCTAAAACCAAAATTCGAAAGTCGAAAAATTGTGCTTCTGAAATTTTGAAAAAAGCATCCGTGCAGTTAAAAGTGAAATACCTAGATTGCCCAGCACAAAAGGAAAACGGGTACATCCGTTCCACTGTTCTTGCACAAAACATAAAATGAAATAAAATAAAATAGGAATCGGGCACGCAAAAGGAATAGAAACAAAAATACGTTAGCACTAGCTACGTATTCTCCCAAGGATGTGATGCAGGTACATCTCCCACTCTTTGGTCGGGGGTCGGTTAGATATAAAGGCGCGAGGGACCAAAACCAAAATTTAAAGGCGCTAGGGGCCGAGAAAAACAAAATAAAATAAAATACTAGGACAGGGGGACAAAACTTTGCCGCGTCCTGTAGCTCGGGAAAGATGCCTTGATCTTCCAAGTGTCAGTTCTGACCAGGGCAGTTGAGTTCCTGTGAAACTCCGGAAACTGTTGTCTTCATCCCGTGGCTACCCATAGTTGTCTGACTAGGGACTGTCCCCCGCGGGTGAGGGTATTGTGCCCACCGAGTCTCGGGATCGAGAATCACTCCTCGCCGTAGACGGTGTACGAGTAGGAAATTCTCAAGTAGCCCTCGGATAAGTCTGTCCCCCGTAGCTTTGGCCAATTTGGCCAAAGCCCCGAGAGAGAGAGAGAGAGAGAGAGAGAGAGAGAGAGAGAGAGAGAGAGAGAGAGAGAGAGAGAGAGAGAGAGAGAGAGAGAGAGA